AACAATCCAAGAGACAAGCCTTAGCACCGGAACACCCTCCGGTTGATAGGCATTCTACCCCGGCAAGTGGTGATCTCGACTCTGGGTCCCGGGGGGGTACCGAAATGGTACGTGTCGGCGGATCATTGCCAACTGCAGCAGGTGACACTCCGGAACCTGAGCAGGCCTCCGCATTGGAGTTGCCTACGGAAAATGAGTTGGATCCGAGGCTGTGGTTACATGATGAGTCTTATCGACTCCGTGTAAGTGACTTGCACAACCTTGGATGTCCGTGCAAGAAGAAGAGTGCTTGAGATTCTTCTCGCACTCCCCCCTATTTCAAGGCGTAATTTCAATCGTTGTGAGCAAGCCTCCCTGTAGGGAGGTAACCACCACAGACAGAATTGGCCAGTTTATTAATTCCACCTTGGTTGTGAGGTTGAGGGGCCAACAAAATCTTCGATATCGTCCCAGACAGGATCTCATGCGCGAACACCTGTTGTCAACAGTTGAGTCGTGTCCGTCCGAGGACCCAACGAGGACGTCGTGTTTCGTGGATATGGATCCCCCAGTGAGGGAAGACACTACTCTGGCGTTGACCAAGGAGGCTGAGCCTCAACCTTTCAACAAAGGCCTAAGGATTCGGGATCTTCGCTGGGCGCTGAATAAGCCCGAAAGGATCCAATTCGCCTGGTTATGTATGTGCCACTGCCATTGGATTGTCATTGACGACCAGTGGGTTTTGAAACCAGGTCAAGTCCTTGTGGCCTAGTTCCCAAGACAGCTGGCCTGGATTGGTTGAGGACTCTCCTCCCAATCTATCCTTGGTTGAAGGGCGGAGCCAGATCTCCGCTTCCTTGTGCAATTTTGCTTAGTTGGGATGTTGTGGTTTGTTCTGTTGATGACCTTATGAATTGGTTTCTGATGCGCTTTCAAGAGGGTTCTTGTTTGGCTTGTTAGTTAGTTGTAGAAATTGTTTCAAGTGGGTACTCTGTTGGACTACCAAAGAAGGCTTCCACGTGGAACCTGGGTGTATGGGCCGCCTCGCAGCATTTTGCCCCAATCCTGATTTCTAAATCGTGGTTGAGCCTTTGCTCCCACTTCCCTGTCAACTTCACCTTCAACACGACAATTTTGGTGTCATCAGTCCGTTTTACTTCACCACCTCCTTTCATCCGGTGGTTCGGTTGGGCCTTATTTAGGTTTGGTTCGGGAGCCAACGGGGGAGCGCGGATAGCCAAGGAAATACTACATGCTTTCACCTTGCTTCATACTGCAGCCTCAAAGAGGCTCAAAGGTGGTCTTTTGGGTTAGGCCTAGGGATCATAACAACAGTACAGTTTCACAACTTTGAAGTTTGGTGATGTATTTTGTATCTGTTTGTGTTTGTATTCATATATGTATATGTATATGTATAGGTATAGGTATAGGTATAGGTATTAGGTATAGGTATAGGTATAGGTATAGGTATAGGTATAGGTATAGGTATATATGTGTATCTGTAGCTTTATATGTATATGTACATGTATATGTA